CTTTAGTCTCTTCTTCCAAATACTTCCTACCTATTGAACCATTGAGGTAAACCCGTGTAGACTATTTGAGAGCATCTTGAATAAAGAGGTGGGAAAATGTTGGGGCGAAAGAGCAAAATCATAAAGAAATATGTGTAATGTGTGTATTATATTGAAGTCGCTTTTAGTAAATATTGTCAATTCACAAGAGGATAGAGACATTATTGTCAATGTCGGCCGACGTTACACGAAGACAGCATGTTTACTTCTTTATTTAATTATATATACTTTTAAAAGTCTCATATATGATTATTGACAGGGAAGACAATATATTTTATAAATCTTCAAGTACTTAACAAATAAAACACAAATCCATGTGAGGAATCAACATTTTTAGACATTGTTTATGAAGTACTGTAAATTATTAATGTGTCTACTTTTAGTTCTCAAGTTGACATCAAATTAAATTTTTTTAATTCATATATTTCAATGAAATACACTAAAAAAATTACTGTAACATTTTATCGTCTCTTCGATCCCGAACGCCCTTCTTCTAAAAATTGATGATGTCTCCTTAACTAAGGGGGGTTTGGTAAATAGTTGTTAGCTGATTAGGTTAGTGTGTTTGAGTAGTTGATAGCATTAGCTGATTGTAAAAAAATATTTGGTGAATGAGTTGTTTGTAAATAGTTAATTACATACAAAATGACTTTCTCAAAAAGTTGATCGGAAAAGATGTTTTGAGCAGCTTTTTGGCCTTGTTTGGTAAAATAGTTAGCTTATCTGCTAATTTTGGCTTATTTGACCACTATTAACTGTTTGAATTTGTTAAAAAATCAATATAAGTTTTTGGTTAATCAGTTTCTTGTAATTCCAAAATGCTAAAATTCAAAAAGTTGTTCAAAGCAACTTTTTCAATTCGTTTTTTTTTAGAAAAGAAATTATACTAAACAGCTAATTTACTAAACACCTTTTTACAATCAGCTAATGTTATCAACTAGTCATACCCTCTATCCCAATCAGCTAACAACTATCAGCTAACAGTCATTTACCTAACAGGGCCTTTGAATTTTAAAGCCGTGTTTGGTAAAATAATTAGCCTATGAGCCAATTATGACTTATTTGACCACTATTAGCTGTTTGACTAAAAATAAATAAATAAAATGAAATTGTAATGCGGAAGCTTCTGTGTTTCTTGTTTTGTAAATTAAATATGAAATTGTGTAGGGTGGATAAAATGATTAGGGAGTTGGTGAAACACAGGATTTTGAAGAGAAGTAGTGGAAGATACCCAAGCATTTTTAATGCACAGTCGTCTTATCTAAATTATTCCTCTAACAACCATGTCGACTCCTCCTTCAATTCTTAGAAATTCAAGGTTTCCTTGCTTTTTTGTTTTATGAGTCCTCAATATATCAAAAATAAAATTAATTGATCCAAACCAAATGTATTGTTTTAGTTTTTGATAATATTGTTGCGATCCAATTGTTTATAAATTTGACAAGATACTAATACGAATCATGCACTTTTTTTTTTTTACTGATACAATGAAAATGAGAAAAAAAAAAAAAAAAAAAAAGATTGCACCAATCTAATACGTGCAATAATAATAATCACTAAAGAAAAACAGTTTGATTCCTCTAATATGAACTTCAACGATCTAAAAATCATAATGGGAATAATTGTGAAAATTTGTCATCTAATATGCAGAGAATTAGTCTCTCCGTAAATGTTACAAATCATCATACCGTAACATTCTTTACTTTTCAAGTTCCTAATCGCCTCTAAAATATGTATAAGCTCTTATTTTTTGTTATTTCTCATATCGTATGAAATGGACATTATTGTAATATTAGATTGACACAAGTTTGAGTCACAATATTAAACCAACAACCTTAAATTTATGTGAAAATTATTTAAGTTTCTTTATAGTAAAGAGAAGTTTTAAATTCGTACCAAACAAAAATAAGCATTGTAACACTACTCCCACAAATGAATCCAATAACATTTTGATGTATGTTATTGAGGAATAATAGGTAACCAAATACCTTGTCTTACTTTCTAGTACAAAATTCCCTGGCTAGAGACTAGAGTTATTGTACCATCCATCCAATTAATAGTAAATAAAGGGTATGTAGTCAAATCTCTTACTACAAAAAATTAGGTATTTTTAATTAAAATCAATAAAATTGATTATGTCCCCATAAGAGACCCACCTCCTTTTTTTTTTTTTTTTTCTGACTACAAGTTTTTTCGACTAGTCAACTATAATCAATAATCTTGTTTATATACTCATATTTCTGGTTAAATTCAAAAATACTGACGCATATCTTAGATATGAAATTTTTAGTTAAACTAGATGAGACTCATGATATCTCATTCAATTCATATCTATGGGGCGGGGTTTGAAATGTAAAAATGGCAATAATTCTAACTAACCCATCTGTTATCAATTAAAATTATTATTATTATTATTATTATTATTATTATTATTATTATTATTATTATTATTATTTAATAAAATAGGAATGGACTGTTTTGGAATTTGTATATAATGTCAAGCATGAAAGACAAGGGAATATCTAACAGTGGAAAGTTTTCGTTGCCATAAATTAATTTGGAGCTTATCAATAATCAACCATTTTAACCAATCAAAGGATTTCTTGATTCCAAGAACCTCTTCTTATTTTTTTGCCTCAAATATTGTAATGCACTAATACCCTTTCCTCGGTGTACATACGCATACACTAGTACAAAATATATTATTGTTCTTTACTTGAAAATAGAATATTAAGTTGAAGATTTTTATTTAAAAAAAAAAAAAAAAGACATTCATATTAAAACTTGTCCTTGAGTTTATATATATATATATATATATATATATATATATATATATATATATATATATATATATATATATATATATATATATATATATATATAAACACATAATAAGTGTGAATGAAGGTTATACCCTTCATTTATGTCCGTTTTTTTCGTTAAGTTTTTTTTTTAATACATTATGTTATAAAAGTTCTACTTTGAAATATTTTGGACAAACATACCCCTATCGTTATAACTTCCGTTATCTTTTCCACTATTGATACCATGCACATGCATCCACCATATATTTTATTATGTTCTTCAATAATAATATATACACATTATATATTGGAGTTATATGTTAATTATTTTCTAAAATATGAATATCAAATTTATAAAAATGTTTTAAATTATTATTAATTACAATAATTTAAATATCTAAAATCTAAATAAATATAAAATTTTAATATAAAGTACTAATATTGGGCACCCACTCGCAAGAATTTTGCTATGACCAAGTACAATAAATTGGGATTTTCTCATACTCAAAACGAACTCAAACATCATGCAACAATGGCATGCTTAAATCAACCTCAGGTTTTGCCCTAACAACACTAGATCGGTTAAGTTGAATAATTTATAATAATAATTTTAAAAAAGAGCCTTAATTTAAAATTAAAATTAGGAAAAATTGCACTTTTCGTCCCTAAGTTATAGGATAATTATAGAATTCATCACAGAGTGTTGATCGGACTCACTTTTCGTCACTAAGTTATCATTAGCGTTGCACTTTTCGTCCTTTCATGTTCACTTTTCATCCTTAAGTTATGCTAGAATTGCAAATTTCGTCGCTAATGTTTTATTAGTAAAGGGACGAAAAGTGCAACGTCAATAATAACTTAGGAACGAAAAGTGAGTATGATCAACACTTATAGACGAATTCTACAATTATCCTATAACTTAGGGACGAAAAGTGCAATTTTCTCTTAAAACTATCTTCTAAAATTTAACAAGAATCAATAATATAATGTGTAGTCCTTAACTGGAGCGAAACTTATGTTGGCAGTATAAGTTGTATCTAGTGTTTATTCTTTGTGTTATTAGTGTTGTTCTGATATGAGCTTATTTGTGCATGTTTTTCTTCTTAATTTGAATCTAATTTTGGGCTTAAGTTCATTAAATTGTCATTTTCAATGCCCATTTCTTTGCTTTCTAATGTAGATATGGTTTAATGAGTGATTTGAGTGTTTTTATGGATTTTATTAGTGTTTTGAAATCATTGTAGATCAAATCAAAAGTAAGAGAAGTTCTAAGACAAGTTTGGAGCCAATATAGACTGAAGAAATCTGATCTTGAAGGCTCGATGCATCGAGAATTTCCAGTAGTTGTGTTCTAAGCAAGGTTTCACGCTCGACGCATTGAGAATTTCCAGTGTGCATTATGTTGGGCAAAGATCAAGGCTCGACGCGTCGAGCCCCTGTCTCAATGCGTCAAGCAGAATCCCAATGTACGCGAGAGTATCAGCTGTGCAGAAATTCTTGTTTTACCCCTATTTGGCTCTTGCTATAAAAAGCCCATCTTCCTCAAACCCTTGGGCTAAGCGGCATTTTTGAAGACAAAAAAAAGAGTGAGAGCTACACTTGGAAAAGAAGATAATCACATCAAAGAGCTACAGGTTACCTTGGAAGAAGGAGGAAAAACTAGGAAGATTCGGGAGAACCTCTTCCCCTTTTCTTTTACTTTATTTGTTGCTTGTGAACTCTTTAATATTATTGTAATGAATACTATTCTAGCCATGGGTGGCTAAAACATCTTAGGGATTTTTGGGTGAAAGTGTTTATGAACCTATTGTGCCTAGTTCTTCATGTCTTAATGAAATATACATTTGAATTTTATATCTTGTGTTGCAATTGTGTTCGATGTTGTTGATGCTTGTGATTAAAGGCCTAAATTACTTGTTTCATTGCTATATTTGTGTCTTGATGGGAGTTAGGATATAAATTAGGGCACCCACAATTGCACTTGACTATTGCACCTTGGGAGAGGGCATATTTGTTAAGGGATTATCTAGATTGCTTGTTCTTGAATAGTTATTGTAACTATCTCATAGGAGTGAGTATGTTTCACTTGTCTTGTTGCGGGTTGGAATTATGGGAGTAATTCTTTCCTATTTGAAAGCAATCTTCCACACTCGATTTAACCCATTTAATTATTTCACTTTAAGTTGGCAATAGGTGATTAAACACTTTGACCCCCAAAAATCACGCTATTTATTCTATTGAATTCCTCAAATTCGCTTGCTTTATTTTACTCCTTTTTGTTTACATGTTTGCAGCAAATTACCCCTTATTAACGGTAGGAATAGCTTCACATGAATGATTAGTAGCTAGTGTTTAATACCCCACTTCTCTGTGGATCGATAACTCCAGAATACTCCAGGTATTTGTTTGTCAAAATATGCTACAATCATGTTCCTTTACACTTTCTTTCTAATTTTTCATTTGGGCCTTTATTTTAACGTTAGTCCTTAACTGAAATTAAAAATATGTTAGTGGTATAAGTCACATTAAATGTTTTTCTTTAGTGCTCTTTATGTTATAAATTTATACTTTCATACCAAGTTTACCCTCAATAATTTTTTATTTTGTCAGTTCTACCATCACTATGTAAAATAAAAATGCATGCATACATTTTTGTATATGTAGTTTCTATAAATATAGTTTAATTTAATAATGTTTTTTAATTAATGAATAATGTGTATATATTTTAATATGATTTGCATATTTGAAAATTTAACTTCTATTTATTTTAACTTCTTTTTAAAATAACCAACGTTATATCTCTATTCGAGAAATTTAAATATATGTTAAACCCTTAGCTTTCAGATCCAAAATTTTCTTTCTTTTAGCTATCTTCTTCCAAATATTCAGAAGTCTGTAGTCATTGTCGCCATCACTGTTGTCGTCAACGTCGCCAAGTTTGTAGCAAAACTTTCCTTCTTCTTCCTACTAAATCCACTGATGTCATCGCCATCACCAAACCATAGTTGGGTCTATGGCATGTTGGTGCCGTTGGGCCTGTTGCAGAAAGAAGCCAAGATCTTTTTCCTCGGCCTTGATAATGCCGGCAAAACCACTCTTCTTTACATTGACCCGAACAAAGTAAAAAAATAAAAAAAAATAAAAAAAAAAAAAACAAAACAAAACAAAACAAAAAAAAAAACAAAAACAAAACAGAACAAAATAAATAAATAACCGACATTAAAAGAATTTTTTTTGTAGTGGTGGGTTGATTGTTGAATTTCATTCATTTTAAGTAGTTTAGTAATTAGAATTAGTTCTTTATTTTTTCATAAATCATTTTTGGATTGTCTAATTATTTTATTGGGTTATTAGTGATTCCCCATAAGATAGCCCTTAATTTTGCACAATGTGCTACTACACAATTTTTGTACATGCGAGAACTGCTAACATTTTCCATTACTAACATTTTGTTGTTCATTAGCATTATTCAATCACATGGTGCGTATTTACTACTACTCTACTAGTATTCTAATAAATTAGGTTTGAATTTTATGCCAACTAACTAGGATTTCATTCATATCGCATGGTTGTAATAATTTTTCCTTAAATTGAAATATCTGTTTTCATGACCCACAACTGCTATCAAACTCAGTGATTTCCTAAGAATTTGATAAGACCTGCAAATCATGAGATTATTGGGTCTCTGCTAACTCTTCACGTTTTTAATAATAATAATAATAATAATAATAATAATAATAATAATAATAATAATAATAATAATAATAATTATTATTATTATTATTATTATTATTATTATTATTATTATTATTATTATTATTATTATAATAACAAGAAACAAAAATAATAATAATAATAATAATAATAATAATAATAATAATAATTATTATTATTATTATTATTATTATTATTATTATTATTATTATTATTATTATTATTATTATTATTATTATACACTTTCAATACTAAAATATAGAGGAAGAAAACAAAACAAGAAACAAAAAACAAATCAATTGTTTAACAATTAATCGTTATGGGTTTTTAAAAAAAAAAACAAAAACAAAAACAAAACAATTAATCGTTATGTTAAAAAGAATAGATTCGAAACTTATTAAAATCCAATACGGATTCTCATTTAACTGCCCTCTGTTACTGCACATCTCCTAAATTCTTAGGAAAATAATTGCAAGTATATATTTGTTCAGAATAATTTGGTTGGAAATTAATTAACATATTTTACATATCCTGGAATTATTATAATTAAATTATCAAGAAAGTTATTTAATTCTTTTAAACTTATCTATAAAAAAAAATAAAAAAAATTTATCTCCAATGTACTCTTACCACATGCAAACATAAAATACTAACTCAAACTATCAACATAAAATGATAAAAATATATAGAAAAATTCAAAGGTACGAATTAGCGCCTATAACTTTTATACTCGGTATCATCCTAAAATAAATAGTGAAAGCTTTGAGTTTGTAAGGGAAACAAAGTCGACGTTGTCACATACTTTTTGACTTTGAGTTTATGTTAAGAGACATGATGTCAATCGACATTATAATATTTATTTATACAACATACGGAGTACTACAATTAGGCTCTGTTTGGCAAACCTAGCTAAAAAGCTATAAGCTCGGAGCTGAAAACTGAATAGCTATTAAGCTAGCTCTTATGATTGAAAGTGTTTAGTAAAATTAGCTTTTTGATAAGCTAATAAATGTAAAAAGACTAAAAAGGACATCTTCATAAAATTTAATTTGTTTGTTTACATATTAAAATTTAACATTTTGTCTTTAAAAAAATTAACATTTTGAAATAAAACTATTAGCATAATCATGATGTAGCATCTCATAATGAAGTAGCAATATTGTCGCAAATCTCATAATAATAATAATAATAATAATAATAATAATAATAATAATAATAATAATAATAATAATTGCGGTGAAAGTTGCGGATAAAGGAGAAGAGAAAAGGATTTTAATTGGGAAGGGTAAATTATGTCACTTATTTAAAATAATAAGGATAAAGAAAAAAAATTAGGAAGCTAAGAGCTTATTTTGAAACGCTACCTAAGGTAGTGTTCCAAAATAAAATCTTATTTTAAGCTAGGAGCTTATTTTGGGAACATTACCAACAGAGCTTATAGCTTGTTAGTAGCTTAAAATAAGCTATAAGATATGTCAAACAGAGCCCTTAGAAGAACATGTTTATTTGTGCAGTATGAATATATATATTATATTAATATATTATATATAATATATATTATATATGCATATTACAATCAGAAAAATATGTTCAGGAATGTAATACATATAGAAGGAAATTTTTCAAAAAAAAAAAAAATGACATACATTTTTTTTAGTGAATTGCAATCTTTTATGTTAAGTTTAGGGCAATGTTTGGTTCGCGGAAAATATTTGAGGAGAAATGAAATTGAAATTTTATGGAAAAGAAATTGTTTGTTTGTGGTGAAGTGTTATATTTTTTTCAAATATAACGGGAAAACAAATATGGCGGGGAGGGGGGGGGGAAGGGAGTAGGGGTGTTGGTATGGAAAATAACTGTTTGCTGATTGGGTTAGTATAGTAAATAGCTGTTAGCTGATTGAGTTAGTGGGTTTGATTAGTTGATAGTAAAAAAATGTTTGGTAAATTAGCCTTTACTTGGTAGCTTATTACATGCAAAATGTCTTTCTCAAAAAGCTAATCGAAAGAACTGTCTTGAGTAGCTTTTTGAATTTTAGCATTTTGGAGCAATAAGTTGTTACAAAAAGCTAATTAGTCAAACAATCATATTGATTGTTTAACCAAGTCAAACGGCTAATAGTAGTCAAATAAGTCAAAATTGACTGATGGGCTAATTATTTTACCAAACCGGGACGATATCTTTATAAAAGAGTTTTTTTTTTTTTTTTTTTTTTTTTTTTTTTTTTTTTTTGTAACCCGATACAAAAAAGTTTGAAATGCTGAGTCTAGGATTACTAATTTGGAATGATAATCGGGATGTCATCGCACTACATGATAATTGACAAAAAAAGGTAAATATCTTTTTTGAGTATTACTGGCTCTGGTACAATGCAGTATTTCTTTCTCAACATATAGAAGCACAAAGAGTTAATACCACCTCTCATATAGGAGAGCAACTTGGTGTCACTATACCACAAGGTCATAAAAGGTAAGTATATAATTAAACAAGTTTTATACGTTATTATCTTGTAAAAGAAACTTAACCCAATAGGCTAGATTTATTTTCTTTGATTTAAGAAACAAAAAAAAAAAAAATTACAATTTTGTCCAAATAAAAATTATGTTTTTGAAAATTACTGCACTGTAAAAACTCTCTTCACCATATTTGATATTGCTGTTTTGCATCATTTATCGTACCAGTCGAAAAAGAGAAAGAAAGAAATAATAATAATAATAATAAAGTTATTATCAAATTGAATGAACCTTGAGATTAAACTGACTCTTCTATCTTCTGAATATGACCTTCTTTTTAAAGCTGCCTCAGCCTTCCATCACTTTGATTCCTGCCACTCTCTCTCCCCTTCCTTCCCATCTCTCTCTCTCTCTCTTCTTCGCTAATTCTCATTACATCATCATCTACAACTGGGAATCTATCCACACTTCTCCTCCTCAGTTGCTATCTTTTTGTTCTGACAACAACACAACTTTAAGGTTGAGTTGAAGAATATAATCCTTTTGTTTGTATTTTAGCAGCAGCATTATGGGCAGGCATTCTTGTTGCTACAAGCAGAAGCTCAGGAAAGGCCTCTGGTCTCCTGAAGAGGATGAGAAGCTTATCAAACATATCACCAAGTATGGGCATGGCTGTTGGAGCTCAGTCCCCAAACTTGCAGGTTTCTTTTTTTTTTTTTCTTTTTTTTTAATTACTTTATATATATATACAAAAGAAAAGAAAAGGAAGCAGGAAATTTGGGTAATGAAAAAGATTTGATTTTGATGTGTTTTTCAGGTCTGCAGAGGTGTGGGAAGAGCTGCAGGCTTAGGTGGATTAATTACTTGAGGCCTGATTTGAAAAGAGGGACATTTTCTCAGGAGGAAGAGAGTTTGATTGTTGAATTGCATGCAGTTTTAGGCAATAAGTAAGCAGCTTTCTTTTAATTTATCAGTACTAGTAGTCATTTGGTGTTTGTTTAATTTCCAGTCCCAAATTTTAATGTGTTTTTGGTTGGGCAGATGGTCTCAGATTGCAGCAAGATTGCCAGGAAGAACAGACAATGAGATCAAGAATCTCTGGAATTCTTCAATCAAGAAGAAGCTGAGGCAAAAGGGGATTGACCCCAACACTCACAAGCCATTATCGGAGGTCGAAAACGATCAAGAAAACCCGTCGGCGGCGACCAAGAAGACCGGAATTGCTTCCCAGGATTCCGGCGAACTTTCTCTAATGGAATCTGAACACCATTTACTCTCACCCCCCGCACCAGAACCCAACAATAATAACACTAACCTCTCCGCAATGGCGCCCATGGACCGATTCTCTGCTCTTCCGGCGGCGGCGCCGCCGCAAGAATTCTTCCCCAACACCGCCACCAAAATCCCCGATTTAACAGCCTACCTCTGTTTCCAGCAGATGAACAACTATTCCCCTTCAAACAACACTAACACAAACCTTTTCTTCAATCCAAACAACAATAACAACAATGTCCCAAATTCTGTTCTTCCACCCCCTTCAATCTCAAACTCCAACTCTTCTTCTTTCTTTGAACCCAACAATGGCTTCCCCTGGGAAGTCTGTGGGAAACCAGAGAACAAAGAAACTGAAGAAATCAAATGGTCTGATTATCTGCAAACGCCATTCTTGCTGGGAAACACAATCCACAACATTCAAGCTCCCCATCATCACCACCATGATTTGTTCAACGAAACCAAACCCGAGACCCAATTCGCAGCCGCACAGCCTTCATTGCCCACCACTTGGCTCCAGAATGATCAGCACCCATCTTTATATAATAACGCCAAGCATTTCCAGAGAATTTCAGCCGCTTTTGGGCAGTTTTCTTAAACTTAGGTGTGTATGTGTTATACTGTTCCTATTCTATATATATATATATATATTCTTCTGTAAATAGGACTTATACATATTTTTTTTATGGTTTTAAATTCTTGGGATACTCTCATTCATAGAATCTTGAAAGCATTCCTGTCTTGTGTTTCTTCATCATCTTCTTTTTTTTTTTTTTTTTTTTTTTTTGTATGATTTAATGATAGATTATGACTTTGTTTCAATCTTCTATCTCCTGTGTTATGTGTTGTAATTCTGTCACTTAATTAAACACTCAATCAAAAAGGTTTTTCACTTTTTGGGGTTTTAACAGTTGTTTAACAACCTCTACACTACTAACTAGCTCCATAGCTTTCCTATTCATTATTCAACCAAACAAAAAGAATTCTTCAAAGATAGTGACCATCCCTAACCCCTAACAATCCCTATATATATAATATATCCTTTTGGTTTTTCTTTCCCTTTTCAAATGTAAAATTCATCAATAATTTAACTCAACATAACTCTCATTTCAGACTGGTTCGACTTTAACAATATAGCTTACAAGACAGCTTATTCAGAACTTACATTAATTGGGCCTTAAACTCCTCGATCTTTTACTTGGGCAATGTTGTGTGTACAAACATTGACTTATTAGATATTGAATCTAAAGTGAGCCAACAAAAGTATAAAGTTTTAGAGCTACATCGATCAGTACACTACATTATATCTGTTTGATTTTTCTTCTAAAAGTAGTTGGACCTTGAAGTGGTTCATTTAGGTTTTTGAGTCAATACTCTGATATTTTACTTGAGAAATGTTGTGTGTACGAACATTGACTTATTAGGGATTGAATCGAAAACCGACACTAGTGTATATAAAGTGTTTAGTGGTCCTATAACATTGATATATACTTGAAATCATTTGACAAACATTTCATTATCCCATTTAGTGCTGAATTGTTAACAAGACATAGAGTTGTAGGTGTCACCCAATTGTTAAAAATACTGCCTATATATAAAGGCATGAAGTGCATGCAACTTTCCACAAGGGAGAGAGGGAAATGAGTGAAATTAAAGCCCCAAAACCACAAGTCAAGCTAAGGAAAGGGGGAGGGAGAGAGGGAGAAGAAAGTGATTTTCAAGATGATACAGTCCATGCATATATGGATTTCATTTGTCCAATTGCTTTGTTGAGATACAAAACATTATCCTTGAGAATCACCATCAAATCAAGAATTTCCAACTCAGTCCATTTGGGATGGATGGAGCTTGGGATATTTATACATCTTTTGCTTTGGTGAGTGGGAAATTGAAGCCATACATATTTTGCAGTTTTCAGGAGTATAAACACACAATGATGCATTTCTCTATTAGGGCTACAAGTTTTCTACTTCAAGGAAGTACACAAAGGAGTAGAGGGTCCATTGTGATATATAGAAATGCCACCTTGATGCTGATACTTGAATAGATAGAAAGAGGGATTCGTTTCAGAGAAAGGAAAACCCTACATCTATTTCAGCTCACAGGTTTTATATCGATAATCTGTGACTTATGTGAAAGAAATTGATTTTCAAAGTCTCAGTCTCGTATTCATTTAACCAGCGTCGTCACCAAACTTCGCTACGAACTTTGACTGTGTTCGATCAATTCTTTTATATTGAACGAGAAGGGAACAAGTGTGCTGATTACTTTGCGAATTTTGGGTAAATGATGGACTAGCTAGGGAACTACATCCAAGGGCTCAAAAGCATGGAAGAAAGTTAAAATTGATCTCCCTCAATAGTGGTGTAGGTTGTAGGATGGGCCAAGGTACATGTGATATATAGCCTCCCTCCCTCCCTCCCTAGGTAGCTATTAGCTATCAATTAATCTTTCACATTGAAGGTGCAGTGTCACAATAGAAAAACATCCCATAAATTCAAGTCTTGTGAGGTGGACTCTACATGGGACCCACCCATTCCTTTTTCCTATCTTTTTCCTTATTTATGAGACTGAAAAAGTTCTACTATACTACTTGCATAAACAATTGTACACATATGACACAGGCTGACAAATGAGCCCTCATGTATTTTTATTTTTTTGAAAATAATAATAATAATTAAATAAATAAAAGAAGAAGAAGAAGATATAATAAATTAAATAATATGGGTAGAAAAAATTTCAATCATGGAGGGCTAAAAGGATTTGAAAGAATCAAAGAAGGCCCATTCCACAGATATATGAATCAATCACATGAACAATGTATGTAGGCCCTTAGCCAGAAGTCTCTCTCCCACGTGCACTCACAAATATGTACATATATATTTTTCCCCATATTCTATGTATACTATTATGTCTTCTTTTATCCATTATTTTTACTTTCTCTCATCTTCCAACAATATAATTCTTAATAAACCATACATTAAAATCCAAACTTATATATGTAACCATCACAATTCACTCCCACCCATTATCGCAATACCAAAACCCAAATCGATATATAATAATATGGCCACACATATATCCACTTATAATTCAGTATCCTCAAAGTAAATAGTGAAGGTTTTGAGTTTGTACCAGAAGGCATGATACGTCCATATTAACATCATAGCTGTTGTTGAGCCGACAATTCAGAGAGAAACATATACGATGTGTTCAAAATGAATATATGAATCAAGTAATTTTTAGATTTTATATTTTGAATTTTATATATATATATATATATATATATATATATATATATATATATATAAGCATAAATGTATCATAATATATTTTTAATTAAAATATAAATTAATATTACTTTTAATTTTTTATATAAATATAAATTAGTAGGCAGAATAGTATTTATTTTGAACTAAATAAATACAATTCACAAATCTAAAAAAGCTACTATTTTCAGTATTCCTACATTTATCCATTAATGCAACCCATATTTAGTATTTACCAATCACTAAGAGATCATTTGATACTTTCTCACCAAGTAAATATATTCTCGGTAAAGTAATTCAATGTATTTGTCAAGAATAATTTTGTTCAAAAAATTATTATTTAACATGCTTGGTGTTACAGGAAAATTTAACAATTAAGTTTCTTAGCAAATTAAAATATTTCAAAAAATTAATTTGCCTAAACTTTCTAGAGGATTTTTTTAATCTCTAATATACCCTTGGCACATGAAAACAATAACGGAACGTTTGGTTGGAGGAATTGCAATTTCCTCATTTTTATGGAATTAGAATCTCATGCCCTCTTGGTATTTCAATTCTATGGTTTTTAGGAAGACAAAAAGATAGCATTAAGACAAAATTACCCATTCTCTTTTTAAATTTAAAATTAATGTTTGACATCTCCCTCTCAATCATAACGTGATAAACCCTTCCTATGATGTTTATTGGATGTAAGCTTTTAAAAAAACTTAACATTTTATTATGTTTAATTAGGTTGTAAACTTGTAAACTTTTATTTTTATGAAGTTATTTTGGAAGTGAGCTTATGAAGCTTAACATTTGACGAAGTATTTGCATGAATATGTTATTTTTTTGGTGTTTGAATATGTAGATGAGTCCAAGAAATACTTGTCATTTAATAATAATAATAATAATAATAATAATAATAATAATAATAATAATAATAATAATAATAATAATAATAATAATAATAATAATAATAAGTATGGGCATTTTGGACTTTATACTACTTATTCCCTTTTAATTTACATGTATACCAAACATTGGAATTAAAATACCCAGTAATTCTATTCCTGCAAACCAAATACGGGAATTTAAATTCCCATATTATTTCCATATTATTCATCTCCCATGAAATTGCAATTCATTCTCTCATAATTCCCTCCCTCCAACCAAATGCTCTCTAAAAGGTAATAAAAGACAGAAAAAGTAATTGGATAAAATTTTCACATTCTTGCTATCCCAAAAAAAAAAAAAAAAAACTTGAACCTTAGTTAGGATTTACTTTTCATGATTTAAAACCATCAAATTCCATTAACCCATATTTCCCCAGGCCAAAAGACACACCAAACTAATAACTTTCCTACCCTTTAAATTTTTAGGAAAATGTAAACTTTATCAATTATCAAATTTCTAAACCCAAACAAATTCTCAAAAAGTTGACAGATCGATCGTTTACCAACCACCTTTAAAATTAATAGAACGTACAACATTATCAAGAAATCGGGATTTAAAACAAGCATGATTTAGGATGTTTGTACGTCACACATGCATCCGGACTGTATGTTTAGGAATATATCATTTTGTGCTTGGGGATATGATGCATGGGAATTGAACCAATTTTAATTTGTGTCAATTTTCAATGGGCCTATATATGCATGTATTGTACTCTCAAGAACACAACAAGTAAACAGATATTGACATCTCTATACGGTAAGTGTAGTGAATAGGGAAAACTGGGAAATTAATTATCACCAAAGTTGAAAAGGGAGGATAAAGTTCTTTGAAAGTAGACTTACTTTTACAAATTTTTCAATATTGAAAAGACTCCATCCAGTAGTGTTGCAACTTACAAGACTGATTCTCACTTTTTCAAGTTTTTACTTCGAACCCCATGTGTAGAATCGACACGTTAAGTTGTGCCAGAAGGATATATAATTCAAAGAAGAGTTTTTTTTAGAAAATAATCATTGGTAACGATAATATTCTGTTATTACTTTACTGTAAAGAAAAAAATTTATCTATAGAATAGATGAATAATTATTAATAGATAATTTTATCTTTTTTTTTCTTATATTTTGTAATTAATTATCTCTTGACATGTTCAGTAAGATCTCTTTTCACTCCCTATATGTCAAAAAGTTTTTCTTTTTTTAATCCACCTAAAGATAGTTAGTTGGCTAGCTTTAATCTCTTTACCATGACCCCATGAGTGATTCAGGTAACTATCATTGCTATTAGCGGTACGGTCTTTAATTTATTAGACTGGACCACAGTCCACAACAAGAGTAAATAGAAGTTGTTGGTAAACCAATGCTAATGCTTTAATTTAATTTTCGTCTATTATTATCAGTGTTGCAAAAATCCCGCCTAGGCACCGATTAATCGGCGCCTAGACGCTAGGCGCTGACCGGCCGCCTAGCGTATCGCCATAATCAGTGGTCTAGGTGGCTGACCGACTAGGCACAGACTAGGTCGCCTAGTCGGCCGATT